CTATCATGGCAGTTGGATCCCAAAGAAGGTAATGGAGCTCGTTCCCATCGGGTCTAACAGTGCCAGAACTGTTGGCTGCCAGGCTCCGCTGGTAAAGGCAGGCCAAGACGCTGGACCATCTCACAGGGGAGAAAGTTAAACTCCTTTCGATGAGACAATGAGCAGGAATCTTCAAAAAGAGTAAGACTGGCTGGCAGTAACCCTGGAAGCCCCACGGGGTTATTCAGAGCATGTTGCTTTGCTGGGTATAGCTCTGTGGTTCAATGTTAGTCTAGCCCATGTGAAGCCTTGGGTATATAATAAATGCTTACAGTAAACACATGCCTCCTTTCAACAGCAGGATATACAGTGACTATGTGATTAGCACTGAGTGTGACCTCAGTCTTTTAAATTTAACCTGGAACCTGAAAGGCTCAAGGATCTTGAGTTCCAGGACAGCCTGGGCTATTCAGCAGGTTACAGACCAGTCTTGGCTACAAATGACACTCTGCACCCCCCACCCCGTCCCACACAGGCCCTAAAACAAGTTAAAATAGTGATTGAAAGAATTCTCTTTCTTTCCCACACCCATTCCTGCCTAACCATCTCTTCTTAGAGTCTAGGGAGAAAATTCTTCATTTTTTTCTTTCTTTCTCTCTTTATTTTTTTCTTTTTTTCTTTTTTTTTTTTTATTTTTTTTTTTTTGGTTTTTCGAGACAGGGTTTCTCTTTATAGTCCGGGCTGTCCTGGAACTCACTCTGTAGACCAGGGCCTTGAACTCAGAAATCCGCCTGCCTCTGCAAACTCTTCATTTCTGAGTCCTGAATTGTGGGACATCAAGAAGCACCAGCTATTATTCACCCTCAAGTGTCCTTGTTCTTCTCAGATACAGTTTTCTGACTTTATGGACAGGGAGGTCATCAGGAAACTCTCTGCCTCCTTTCTAGGGCGTCAGCCTCCCTATCGTAAGGGTGCTGATCTTGACCCAAGCACCTGCCTTTCCTGGGGCTATTTGCCTGCATGTCTGGCAAGCCAGGGCATCACCCTGGAGATGAAGGTGGCATCTCATCTGCAGGTGACATGATTCTATAACAATTAAAATAATAACTTCATTAGTGGTACAGGAAAGTCCATTGACCAGAAATGAGGAAGTCCCAAGGAGCATTGAGAAACTGATCAGAATTTGGCCAAAAGTTCATGAATGTCACTACCACGTGGTTAAGAAGGAACTGAATAGAAGGGCATTCAGGACAGGTTGTGCCAGGCACCAGTATAAGATGGAAATTACTGTGGGATTACAGTATGTTATTTTGGGAGCACACAATGCTTTTAAAAACCTGTTGTGCTGTGCAGTGGTGGTACACACCTTTAATCCCAGCACTTGGGAGGCAGAGGCAGGTGAATTTTAGAGTTTGAGGCCAGCCTGGTCTACAGAGTGAGTTCCAGGACAGCCAGGGCTACACAGAGAAACAATGTCTCTGAAAACAAAAACAACAAAACAAAACAAAACAAAACAAAAACCTGTTGATATTTTCTGTAATTAGGACATTCTTCTGTCATTGTGCTCTTCAGTACATTTTTAAAATGCTGTCAGCTGTGCTAAGAGGAACCAAGAATGATTGTGTGTGTGTGTGTGTGTGTGCGTGTGTCCAGAGATTTAAAGGGGAAATAGAAGAAATAGCAAAAGAGCCTCACTGGGAAGGCAAACTGAGGACAAATGAGCAGGAGGCCCATGTGTGGACACTGAGATGCTCTCAAAGCTGCCTCTATCTCTCCATCTCCACAGTCTGTCATTATACCAGTGACTCAGATGAAGATAAGCAGGGACCTCAAGCGTCTGACACCACTGTATACAGCTGTGATCTCAACACAGGAAAACCGAGGCAGGAAGATCAGGAGTCTGAGTCCAGCTTGGGCTGCACAGTAAGGTCATCTCAAACAACAAACAAACAAAGCAAAGTGGACCTTAATGTGCTAGGTGTGGTGGCTCATACCTGTAATTCCAGCACACAGGACACTAAGGTGGGGTGGGGTTATGGATAGTTACAGTGAATTCAAGGCCACCAACTGACCTGTCAGCATGGATGGGAGAAATTTCACAAGGTCCTAACCCTAGATGAAGAGCTAGAGGCAATTAATGACTGACGAGAATCATTAATTCCCCAGGGGTGATGCCACTAATTGGTTATCTAATACTGTGTGGTCAGCCTTAAAAAGCATATACCTATAAGCAATGCTAAACAGACTCTGGGTTGTGTTTATATAGTTATTCACATATATGTGAGAGTAAATTTAAAAGGCCATGACTTTGGTGGGAGGGAACAGGAAGGGTTAAGGGAGGAGAGTGAGAGAAATGATACAGTAGTATACACATCTATGAACTTGAAGAAGGAGCTAGGTTGGAATTAGGGATCAGGGCTGGAATGGGTGGTAGCTGTCTCTGGAGTTTGTGCTCTGGGATGAACCAGCCAATAGTATCTGATTTAGAAGTCAGAAATGAGGACAGGAGTTCAGTGAGCAACCTGTGAGTGACAAGCATCGAAGGCTACTTAGAAAAGCCTTTTCCTAGTTAACCAATGAGAAGACACAGAGATTGTAGCAAACGGGGAAAGGGAGGGCTAGGGGCCTAGCATGTTCCCCTTAAACAAATTGGGGCAGAGCTGTTGATAGGTAGAGGCAGGAGCTTCAGAAGTTCAAGGTTATCCTTCTACATTCAAGTTCCAGGCCAGCCCAGGATACACAAGAATGTTTCAAAAGTTGTTTAAACAGGGAATCTGAAGCAGCTATTCCGAGATGCTGTCATTTCTGCCATATTCTATTGGTCTAACAAGTCACTATATCCATCATAAATCAAAGGGAGAAGAGTCAGTTCCTCTCAATAGAAGTGATAATAATAATAATAATAATAATAATAGAACTATCACCATTCTTCTGCCATCCCTCTATCTCACCAAGTCCTCAGCAAAGTCTCAATTCCTGTCTCCAGATCCTCAGGAGTCACAGGGTAGAAACAATGAGGGCTTTAAAAGCCAAGGGCCCTGCATCCTGAACCAGTCAAGATCTGCCATTCAGCAATTGTAAAGCCATTCAGTGTTCCCCCAGGATCCTTAACAGATTGTGTCTAGGCCATCTGAAAATGCCCAGATGCCTTATTAGAAAATGACATAGTAGGGACAGGGGACATACTTCAGTAAGCACAGTGTGTGCTTAGCATGCAAGAAGCCCTGGTTTTGATCCCCTAGCACATCATAAACTCAAAATGGCAAACACCCATACTGTCAGCGCTGGACAAGTAGAGGAAAGATCAGAAGTTCATCCTCCTCCTGCATAGCAAGATTGAGGCTAGGCTGGGCTACATGAAGCCCTGTCTTAGAAATTGAAAAAAAAAAAGACAAAAGGAAAAAAAACAGCATAGTAAAAACTAAAAGAAAACAAGGGGGGAGAGAGAGAGAGAGAGAGAGAGAGAGAGAGAGAGAGAGAGAGAGGTGCATAGAACCTACATGTATCTCTCCTTATTCTTTAGTTTACGTCACTTATAATCCTTAATATAAAGAAACAACATGGACACCACTGTTTCGAAATTATGACAAAAAGAGAAGGAGGAGGAGGAGGAAGAGGAGGAGGGGGAGGGGAAGGAGGAGGAGGAGGGGGAAGAGGAGGAAAAATCTGTGTAGGTGCAACTGTCCCGAGTCTGACTATGTAGTACACTAGCAACAGTGTAACTTTCATTTAAAATCTTTTCTTTCGTTCCTTGTTTTGTGTGCTTCTTTCTTGTTTTACTTTCCTCCTTTGAGACAAGGTCTCCCTATGTGGTGCAGGCTGGCCTCCAGTGCCACGACTATTTGAATGTTTTCCACCTGGTAGGTTGAATCCTTAATGATAAGAACACTGGACTGGCCAAGAAAATGTCCGCCCAGATCTTTCCCTGCAGATGGCATTAGTGACTGATGGTCCTCAGCTGTTGAGTACTACTGAAATCTATCCCATGGTATTTAACCCCCGAGTTGGTAAAGACTAACTTCTCAAGGTTGCTCCCAGGCTGCTGACTAAGCACAGTAGGGACACTTAAGGCAGGCCTACACCTGAGATATGTCAGAATTTGGGGACATGCCAATTTGCCTTAAGGACTACCCTCTTCCCACGGCTTTGCTGAACTTGTAGTGAGTGTAGGTATTTCTTTCCACCCAGCCTTTTCCACTTGCCTTGTCCCGTTAATGAAATCACACCCACATCCCCCACATCCCAACCCCAGTTCCTCTTGTTAAACTGTACAGCACTTCTTTCTGCTTCCTAATAGGGCTGCCGTGTGTGTGTGTGTGTGTGTGTGTGTGTGTGTGCGCGCGCGTGTGTGCGTGTGCGCGCGCGCGCGCGCCAATCACAGAACTAACCCTTATTCAATTAATGATGACCAAAGTAGACAATAAACACCTGCTCTGTTTGACTTGCTTCTCTGTTAATGCCCTTCATCAGGACACAGAGCCTTTCAAAATCTGATCTCCGAGGACTTGGCGCCCCAAACCCCACAGCAGAAGACCTACACTACTCAACAGTTAACTCCTTGCCTTTCTAGCTTTTGCCTTCACTCCTACTGCCTTTGCCTGCAGTCTGTGGAACGCCTCCTCCTCACTCTTTGACACAGAGGACACACTCTGACATATTCCTGAAGACCCAGTTCAACCCAACAAGGCAAACATCTCTGCTGGCACAGATCAGCAGGCACCTTGTAAAAAGCATTCGTTACACTGTACTAACATCTTCTGAGGAACCCAGGAGATCCTCTGGAGCAAGGAGGCGTCCAGCCGGAGTTCCCCAGGCTTGGTCCACCGTGGGCCCTCAGCAGGGATCTGCCAGAGGAAAAAAAAAAAAAAAAAAAAAAAAAAGAGGCTGGGCGAACCGGGAAGGGAGATTTCAGTTCCCTGGAAGATCGCGCCGCCTGCAGGGAGAGGATGCAGGCGCAGCGCCCGCCGAATCGCAGGGGCCGCTGCAGGGCACATGACTGGAGGCCTCCTCCCGGCCCCTCCCGTTTCCCGGCGCAGTCGCCAGCCGCCACCATCACCGCCGCCGCCGCTTGCTGGCGTGCCCCACCGGCCCGCGTCACCGCTCTGCGCGCTCCCTGCACCTCCCCGGCTGCAGCAGCCCGAGAAAGCGAAAGCGAGGCAGCCCCGGCACCCGCGATCGCGCAGGCTCTGTGCTCCGAGGGCCGTGCTCGCCCGGTGTCTACTCCAGGGCTGTGTGCACCGCGCGGGCGGCGGCTGAACCTGCACCGGGAGGGCACGGGAGCCGCAGAGCCCCCGGGCTTTGGGCCGCTGCTGTGTGGCCTTGGCGGAGGCTCTTTCCAGCTCGCCTTTCCATCCCGGGCCTGGCCGGTGAGCCGCGCGCGGTATGGGCAGATGCTGCTTCTACACGGCGGGGACACTGTCTCTGCTGCTGCTGGTGACCAGTGTCACTCTGCTAGTGGCTCGAGTCTTTCAGAAGGCGGTAGACCAGACGATCCAGAAGGTGAGGCAGGCTAGGCTCTGTGTGTGTGTGTGTGTGTGTGTGTGTGTGTGTGTGTGTGTGTGTGTGGTCTTTCTAGGCCACCCTCCCTTTGCGGACCCTGTGTAGGGAGAGTTGCGTTGGCGCCGAGCCTGCAGAATATTGCTCTTGTTTGCCCCGTCTCTCGGGGCTGGCAGGATGTGGAGACTTGAGGTGACTCTTCCCTTTAAATAACCTGTAGTCTACAGATCTTGACTTTGTAAAAAAAAAAAAAAGCCTTGAGTTTTCGTTCTATCCTTAGCATTCTCCCCACCCTTCTCCGCACCCGGTCTATGTTGAGCCCTGTTTCCCTCGCACTTCACAAAGAAATAGAAATGCGTAAAAGCACCGCAGAAGAGGCAGGCTTTGTCGGCTTGCCTGCTCGGCCTTTGAAACCGAGTGGGCCTGGGGATAAGAACTGGGTGAGAGGTCTATTGTGTTCTTGCCTTCCTGAGCAGGGCAGGGCAGGACAGGGCAGGACAGGGCAAGGAAGAGGGCAAACAGACCAGGTTTTAGGAATGGGTGACATTTTATCCATTGCAGTTTGTGCTTAGCGGCTTTGTGTCTCGAAGACAGCCTCGTCTCTGTTTCATCCTTGCGCTCATCAGCCCTACTTGCGTAATTAAAAATTGGGTAATTAAAGAATTTGGACCTATCTCCCAGGTTGGATGATTGGTGCCTGCAAAGCTGGTCATGTGGAAGACTTCTCCATCCTGGAGCTGCCCGGGTCATTTCTTTCTTTTACCCTTTCACCCACATTCACTAAGCACGGTGGAAAGAGGAACAGGAGAGAGTTACTAGGATCCCCTTTTCCTTTAAAACTAAAGAGCTAAATGTAAGTCACTGTGGTAGCCTCTCTCATTAGCATCAGACTTACGCACAATGTCTCTTGTCTCTATTGCTGTCACCCAGGTACAAAAGCTTAGGTTTGAGAATCTGCTTGGAGTCACTCTATTCCGGATTAATAAAATTAGTTGCTGCCGGGCAGTGGTGGTGCACACCTTTAATTCCAGCACTTAGGAGGCAGGGGCAGGCGGATTTCTGTGTTCGAGGCCAGCCTGGTCTACAGAGAGAGTTCCAGGACAACCAGGGCTACACAGAGAAACCCTGTCTCTGAAAACAAAAACAAAAAACAAAAAAAATAAAATTAGTTGCCTTATTCTAAATGCCAATTGATGAGTCCCTAAACAGAGATTTCTAGTAGTAACCAGTTACTTGGAATTTGGCAATTTAAGATGTTTTGTTGTTGTTGTTAAGTGTCTAGGCAAACCTTTATTCAATCCTGAATGAGATGGCATTGCCAAGAGAAGACCAAGCCTACTGTGTGAGCTTCTCAAAGATCATTGTTGCCCTGAGCTTGTGTGTTCAAGGAGAAAAACAAACCCTTTCTCTCCGCCCCACATCCAAATTCAAGGCTTGTCTTAAACTCTTGCTTTGGTAGCTTGAGTAAGGAATACAACAGTCAGAATATGATTTGTGTGTGTGTGTGTGTGTCTGTGTGTGTGTCTGTGTGTGTGTCTATGTGTCTGTGTGTGTGTCTGTGTGTTTGGGGGATCTGGTAAGATAAAGGTTTCTCCTAGCACCTCAGCCATAAACACTGATTCTTGTGAATTTGGTTGTATTCAGGGGGTTCTATCTGGGAAGTACCAGCACAGGACCTGAGTTTCTGTTGGTCACAAGTGCTTTTCTTCTTGGGAAGAACCTGATTGATAAGTTGTAGCACAGGAGAGTTACAGAATTGCTGGACTTGAGCTGCAGAGCAGTGCACCACATGAATCTGATAGGAAGGAAATAGGTTCATTTCAGCAGATGGATGTTGTAAGTCAACCAGAGGTTACCAGAGTGCACTTTCCTAGAAACCCTGTAGGGTCATCCCAAACAGAGGGAAAGACCAAGAAGGACTTTACAGGGGAGTAGGGCAGGGAATGAATGTTGGCTCCACACTCACCCACTGAGAAGCCAGGGACTACTTGTTGAATCTTTTAGTTTTCCTTTTGAGATAGAGTGTCATTATGTAGTCCAGGCTTACCTTTGAATAGACAGCTCTTGTCTCAGACTCCCAGGTGCTAGGATTGATCACAAGCATGTACCATGACACCTGGCTCTGTCATCTTTTTTGAGGGGAGGTGGCATCTCATGTACCTCAGGCTAGCCTCGAACTCACCCTAGAGCTGAGAATGATCCTCCTGCCTTCACATCCTGACTGTTGGGGAGACAAGTGTGCTTCACCACACCTGGTTTATTCAGCATTATGATTGAACTGGGGTTTCTTGCATCTATGACTCTTCAGACAAGTTTTCCTTCTAGCCTATAATATTTTTTATTCATGTTCCATTGTCTGTAAGCACTGATAATAATGACCAATGCATTAAGAAAGAGTGTAAGAAATTTCAAGGAAAAAAAAAAAGTATGGTTTCCCTCCTGGGCTAGAGTTAGCATTTAGTGAAATGATAGCCGTATGGTTTCCCTCCTGGGCTAGAGTTAGCATTTAGTGAAATGATAGCCATTTTGTTTTTATTAGAAGCTGCATAGTGAATCTGAGATCAGCAATCAGACACCTCTGCTCAGATCCTGAGTGTACCACGGTGAAGCATCAGCCTTGAGCAAGTCACTTAGCTCCTCTAAGCCTCAGTTTCTCTTCTTGTAAAAGTGGGAATGGGAAGTGTGAGCCACCTTGGCCACCCAGTTGGGTTTCCATGGGGCTCCTGAGCGTTGGGTCTCTTGCTTGCACGGGTCCTTCCAAAGCCCTGTGTTTAATTTTTAATGTTCAATGTTTTCCCTCCTATGGAGGGCCCTTAAATTATAGAAGCTTCAGGATCCATAAAACCTGGATCTTGTGGGCTAAGCATAGACTTGGCCTGGGTGATCAATATGTGACCTCCGTCATTATTTCCAGTAGTATTTCTATGGGGTCATTCATCCATGCATTGACTTTAATATGATCCACATTGTGATATAGTCCATGCGGAAACTGCCAGTTCTCACTGTTTTCCTTTGAAGATTGTCCATGCCTCAACTTGTGTAACATCAAAAATCGGAATGGGGAAAAGGTTGACATTCAGATGCTTGGGTTTGGCCAATTTCGAGAAGTTTGGTAACATAATTGCTGTACAAATCGATCTCAGAGATAATTTAGTAAAATAAAGTGCTTGCCACACAAGCTCGGGGACCTGAGATTAGACCCCCTGAACCTGAGTAAGAAACTGGATGAGGCACCTGTGACCCCAGCACTCTGGAGGCAGAGACAGGAGGATCTCTGGGCCTTCTGGCCAGCAAGCCTGCCAATGGCAAGTTCTAGATTCAGTGAAAGACCCAGTCTCAAATAAATAAACAAGCAAATAACTGAGATGTGGTTGAAGAAGACACTCAACATTGACCTTTAGAGTCCATGTGCATGTGGACACATGTGCATATGTAGTTACATATCACCCATATGCACATGCCAAAAACAATAACAGAAAAAAAGAAAATATAGCCCTAGAGTGACAAAGTAGACTGAAGCGAGACTTTTATTTTGGCAGGTAAATATAGTGGATAGTTTTATTTTGGCAGGTAAGTATAGTGGGTGGAGTGGTTATGGGAACCAAATGTCCCAACTGCCTGCTACTTGCCATGACCAAAATTTAGACACAAGCTTTGGTAGGAAGTAATCGAGGCTTTGAAGAAATTAGCAGGGCTAGCTTCCCGACTGTCTGCCCTAGGGGACTTTTATAGGAGCTGTGAGGTATGGAAGAGATTTTTTTTTTTTTTTTTTTTTTTTTTTTTTTTTTTTAGACAGGGTCTCACTCTGTAGCCCTGGGTGGCCTGGAACTCACTGAGATCCACCTCTGCCTCCCACGTGCTGGCATGTGCTGGCATGTGCTGGCATTAAATGCAGGCATTGCAGTCACCCAGACTGGATCTTGGATCTTGACTCCTGCTGCTAATCTAAAGAAAGATCTAGCAGCCAATCATCATGCAGATGGGTGCCACACTATTGTCGCCTGGGAAGAGGACCCTCAGCATAGGAATTGTCTCCATCATATTGGCCTGTGAGTGAGTCTGGGATGAGCATAGGAATTGTCTCCATGAGATTGACCTGTGAGTGGGTCTGGGATGTGTAGGAGAGATAGGCTGAGCAAGCCAGAGACACATCAACAAGCTGTGTTTCTCCATGGCCTTCACTTCTGTTTCTGCTCCGGGCGCCTGCCTTCTCCCAGCTTTCCTCACTGAGGGACTGTGATGTGGAAACATAAGCCGAATAATCTATTCTTTGGCTGTCTTGCTTTTGGTCAGAGATTTATGACAGTGACAGACAAGTAACTAGAACAATGAGTTCCTTCAACCAAATGATTACAGAGACTGGGAGGGCAAAAGTCAGGACCATTTCAAAGGACCTGCTGTTACTGGACCCAGGCAGGCACACTGGTTCCCACTAATGAGGGCCTCATCCTGGGAAACCCATGTTGTCTTGGTTATCATTTGCAGAGGTGTGGAAGCACCTTGCTCCTCTTCAGCGCTCCCCCACCCCACCCCCGTCTCTGTCTGTCTGACTCTCTCTCTCTCTCTCTCTCTCTCTCTCTCTCTCTCTCACACACACACACACACACACAAACACACACACACACACAGACACACACACACACACCATTCCGGGGGGGATACTGAGGCATCAACAACACCTTCTTCGGCAAGCATTTGAGGCTTTCTGAAGATAGATTTGCATAGATAGACCTAGCAGACTATTTCCCACTGTGAGGCAGGTGTAATGTTTGTACAGTGTAACCAGAATCCGAGAGGTGGAGCAGGAAGACCAGAGTTTGGGATCATCCCCATCCACATAGAGAGTTCCAACCTGGCAAGAACTGAGTGAGACCCTGTTTCAAAAAATAAACACACAAGCAAACCACTTTTTCTTCTCAGAGAGCCTGGAAGGATGAGGTTTGATGTATTCATTCTGTAGTCCAGCCCATCACTTTGATACCTAACACAGCGCCTGCTACATT